TCGAGAACATTGAGGCGTACATGTATGTTGATGGTTCAGGAATCATCAACTGGATATTAGGCGGCGAGTTGATACCACGTCAGATGACTGTGAGTATGAATAACACCATATAGCCGATGTGTGGATTGCTCAGGTGTTTAGATGGCACGATAGGGATGGTGTGGGGGAGCGGACTGTGGTTAAAGTTTGTTGAATATCGTGCGATTCTGCGAGGTCTTACAGTGCCTTGATTTGAAGCTTCTCCCTTGTTCAATTTATAAGTGAGTTTATGTGATAATTCGCCAACTAATAACAGTAACACCCTGGATGGATAGACATAATTAGCACTTCGTCAAAGGGGCAGAATTGCGATGTGCTACGGTCGGAGTGCAAACGTGACCACAATTAGGCGACGGACAAATATCATACTTCTGGGAAGTAAACCAATCATTCATATGAACAGCATGGCCGCCATGACCGCATACTTGACACGCCAGCCACAACCCTTTCACATTCTCGCCACATACGACCTGAGAAAATAGATTGAAAATAGATATATACCCATTGCTGCTTACACATGTTCTGTTATTCTTATGACAGTGGCTGCACAGTGCTTTATCAGAGCCTATGACACATTCCTTGCCGCATGATGTACAACGTGTTTTCACACCTGTACCTGATGACCAGACACAGGTCTTAAATTGATGATTACATTCTCTAGTACAATACCCGCGTGGCTGACTCCGGCGATGTCCTCATATGCCGCACATGCATTGGTGAATGATGTAGCCAAGTCCCACAATCGTAATCGACGTAAAAGAGTTATATAGTTCACACCTGATAGAGTATGATAATGATGATGATGATGAAGCATGTGCATGGCGATGTTCAGACTTATGTAGTATTACATGTGATAGATAGTTGCCTCTCACAGGAATCTTCATCATCCTCACTCGTTATCAGTCCACAATTGAGTTTAACTAGTAACATAATTATACACATGACGATGTCACCCAGAGTTTGGTAAAATGTGGTTGCTGATCCCAATATTCGAGCTAGCCATAGATTTGGGGATGGTTGTTGTTGTTCTTGTTCTTGTGCACACCACCACCACCACAAGTGTCACTTGAAGAGTTGGACAGAGGACTTTGTAGAAGTGGATGAACAATACTTTGGTGAGGA